CGTTATTCCCCACGTGGAACATATTTGTGAAGTGTAAAAAATACCATTCTCCTCGATACTTACCCCATCCTTCAAATCCTGGACTTTGGTTGGTAAGTAATGAAGTGTGATTGGTAACTGCTGGAGATTAGTTCAACCTCACCTTTGTTATTGTTGCTCCATTTTGGCCATTATTACCCAATTTTAAGATTATTATACAGAGGATTGCTTTCCTCGCCGACATCCGACATGTTTCGGCAGAACAGCTCACAACAGGTTATTGTGCCGTAAGTGTTGCCTCGTGCCGAGTTACCAGTGTGCGCTGGAGATCTGAAATGTAAACAGCTGTCCGCACTATTACTAAAGGTTTAAGCGTCTTAGGGATGCCTTGTGCCTCTAATAATACTTGCATGTATCCTCCTTGCCCCCACACTATTAGTCCAGGAACAAGGGGCAACGATTTCATAGCCATAGTGGCCACGGACATTGGCTAGCCATTCGGTGATGTAGTGAGCACTCATCTGTAGCACGGCGGGGTTCAAATCACTGATACTAGTATACACGAGTGCACCATATAGTTACGAAGCATACAAGGAATTATTGTGCTGGGGCTTTACGACGCTGCTTTGTCGTTTTCCATTCTATAAATATTTATAAAAAAGACTAAGGAGTTGTGGGCTTGCGAATTCGTTGGTACGATGATTGAGCCTCCACTGTTTTCAGCCTTAGACTAACGTATTGTAAATCCAGTTATAATTCCATCATAACGGTGTTGAGTTTGTTTCGAGTGAAGCAGACACGGTGCATAATCGCTGAGAAGCTTGCTAATTTAGGGTTGGTACTTCGTTTTTTGTAGGAACACTATCAGCTACCTTTGTTCTTGCGAGGCTCACGGAGTACGGAAATGCTATGACATGATTTCCAGAAGGCTGGATCACATCTAGTGGCTATCACCCCGACATCCGCGTCCGTTAGTGGAATGGGCTGTAGGTTTGGCAGGAGTGCTGGACTAACTGCGTACTAGGTCACCACACGTAGTACAACGTTTCTTTGCACCGAGTGTAGCCTTTGTTGGAACGGAAACAGGTCCTTTGCGATTCGTAACCAAACTCCACAAACGCCTGTTTGCATTCCTAAAAAGCAAAGAGAAATAACTAATAAGTAATTCTTGGAATCAGTTACAGGGAACCATTTCTCCAAGAACGTGAACTTCGGCAGAGTTTTCTTTCCCTATTCTCTGGACTGTTGCCGGTCACGTGTGCAAGTATGCCTAGCAGAAACATCTTTGTGCTGTTGAGAGGAGTGGACTAGGTTCTGATTCCGAGTAACGCATTTTTCAAAGCCAGAAGCCTAAAATTTCTTTAACCAGCACTTTTTTGACATTACAAGGTGCGGGCATAACAAAAAGAATGTCCATTTGATATCCATTTTAATTCATGTAAGTGTTGTCGTCGCATCGAGAAAACCTCATTGCTATGACCTTGTTTTAACCCTTTTGGCCGATAAATATGTATGCTTTTGCGCTTCTACTTTGACCTACCATCACTTCTACACGTCTGATGTTGCGTACACTCACAGCAACCTTGTCGTACAGGTACTGGTTGAAGACAACCACATCATTAGAGTGAAACGGTACGTGCGGTGCGATATGCTGTCATGAGGTGAGTGTCTTCAGAAATGGCTTTACGTGCTAGGTGACTCAGAAAAATACTTTGGCAGTTAAAACTACCTAAATGATATTGATTTTTCTGTCACTGAAATATGAAGAAAAGCCAAAGCCCTAAACTTAAAGTTGTCAGTTAGGTAATTTTTGGGACTACTGCTTGCAGCTCCGAGGATTCTTAAGTCCTAATGAACCCTCGAAGATTGGAAGCACTCACGCTAGGTTATTCAGGGTTCGCTGGTGTTCCAGCTGTAATACTAATAAACCTCTTCAGGTGTTCGTTCCTAGAGGTCACCCCCCCCCTCTGTTTTGAATGGGGTGGCAGTCATCCCGGCTTATGAATGTGAAACCAAACCGCTTGCCTCTAACTTCAGGCCGGGTTCTCTAGTCTCTTCAGCTACAAGTGCTGCGGAAGGAGCGGAAGGCGAATCATTTGGTGATTGTCTGTTTGCGAATCCAACCACCTTTGACTTCCATTACAGGTTTTTTAACTTGGAAGGTAATGTAAAACTAACTCATCGATGGGGTGGAAAAGCTGAACTCTGCCTCTGTTGGGTAGAGAGGGCCCTTCGCTTTGGGCTACCCCACCTTTTAAAGCTCTTGATAGGCCTTATCATGATATCCTGTGCCAAGAACTTAAGCTTATGAGGTGCCGAGAAAGTAGCTCACCACCTGTGAGATCATCCCAGAAGCCAGTAACAATCAGCCAGATTTGCTGCCTCTCTGTCCAAGTGGTTTCTGTCACTAAGTGTGGCACCTCGGAGTTCCATCTTTGGTCAGCCCCTACCTTTTGTTTTTATACAAGACTCACAAGGAATCATAGATTCGCAATCATCATGTGTCAGCAATCTGGAGATTTGGAGATGAACGAGACGGTGGATATCTTTGTCAAAGACACTGAAGACAGTGGCCCAGCTACAGTCACTTGCTCCAAATATATCGTGGATATTCGTGAATTGTAAAGTGTAGTTCAGTTGGCGCAACACACGTAGGCAGTACTTGTTGGATGCCAAAGCAAAAGAAAAGTTTGTTGGTGCGTGAATATGATGAAATGGAGATCTTAAAAGAAATGCCAGTGGTGGAGCATGAAATATTACCTAGCTCGCAGCCTTTACATCAAGTGTACCACACCATGTATTCTTGCGGATTCCTCGAGAAAAATGCTAGTATCCCCCAATGGTTTTAGATCAACTGTCGCAAGCTGGTTCCCGTTGCTGAATCCCGAACATACATTACTCAACAAAATCCTGAACTTTAATTTCTTACACAGAGGACCTTTAACTTACCAATAAAGGTGGCGGAGTCTGATAGCCAGTAACGCACAAGCTACTACCACTGGGAAACGGACGACGGACAACACGTCTGAAACAAATTCCATGTAGGTAAGCTGGCTCAAAAGATTTGGGCACTGTAGATGTATGGCACGTTTTCCGTAGCGTCCTTCCCAAGCGCAATTCCTTCTCAGTGTACTAGTCTCGTGCATACACATTTATAAGGTTCTACGGCAAAACAACCGAGGCGGTAACAATATTCCAGCGCTGCGTAATCATCAGTGTTGATCATTGATCCTGAAAAAGGTTTCTACTGCTGCCGATATATGGGAGATTCATCTCCTGCCGATACGAACCACTTGAATTCTTCCTTTGTACTTCGTTGGTCAAAAGATGTAATGATGGTTTTTTTCTGGATATCTTCAGTCAGGATATGCATCTGATTCTAAGCTATAGTTGGGTCGTTTTTGGAAAAGTTGTGCATTGCGTACAAAGCCCCGGTTAGGTCCTGAATATGAGCTTTTGGGTAGCAGCCATGGATTGTTTTGATGTTAGACCATCTTAACACACTGTTTGCAGACCAACAGTTGTTACCGTTTACGAGTGCTGGGTACAGTGGTGATGCTGATTCGGTGTCTTATGTTTAGATAAGGCTGAGTTCAAAGATGTCTTCGATCTGCTCCCTCAGCATTTTGGAACTAAACATAGCGAGGCAGCATGCTTTGAATGCTGCAGGTAGTTCTGTGGTTGGGATGTGATTCATAACCCCGCGCGTTATTCACTGTAGGGTATGTGTCTGCTGTCTCAACTCCAAATACTTGCTCGACACCCTTTTTACCGGAACCAACTGAGTGTTTTGATCGAAATAGGGCCCAGCTTAACTCTGTGGAGGTGATCCAGTCAGCTAATATCTTCGAGTTGCTACCTGGCTGCTGTCGTTAGGTGGTGTGAAGAATAATGTGTAAATCCAAAGGGACACGGGTACACTCTGGTGTAACTCTTAGGACTGGCTTCCCATCAGTGGATTGCGGTCTGCAGAATGGATCATGATCACACCCATTCTTCGCTGCAGAAATGAAGCTTAATTCTGCGTGGGCGTCAATGTAACAGTGGATCTTTGCACTGACATCTGTGGTAAATAACAAACAGCGAGAGCTAGGAGTTTCTCGGAGTTGTGAATTCCGTTTTTAGAGCATGCGGTTTTCCCGGTTTGGTGCGCCCTCATCTTTTGTGTAAGGGAACCAACACCATCCAGGGTTTTCAACACATCAGGGCCGTATTTTGAAACAGCTACATGAAATGCAGTGGCAGGGTGAAATAAAAGAGAATCACGTCCTGACAATCTGAGGCTTCGAGTTCTCAGAGTTTTCAGTGGTGTGCCTCCGAAACCCGCCATAGTTCGTACGTAAGGCCTTCCGATTTTTCGGCGGGCAGGTTATCATGAAACCACTATGTAGGAGTGCCCTATGACACATTTTCCCACCTCTGTCACTTCGTGATACATCACTCCCATCGCCCGGTATCTTCACTGTCAGGGCTGCGGGTATGTTCTGCTAGGAATTCCTAAACCAGGGAGAAAAAGCTGTTCAGTACTCCTACTTTTTCAGGGGTCCGCCAGTTTGTGCCACTCAGCGTTAAATCGAACCTCTATCTCACTGAGTAGTTCCCAACTTACTAACAGAATTGTAGATCTCTGCCAGCCCACAACACAAAACTGCAAGTTTTTCTTCATTTGAGTGTAGATCGAAAAAGGCATGGAAGGCACTGTTACTTCGATCTTAGGCGAAACGAATCAGGTCGTCGATTGCCGTAAATTGGAGTACCATGAGGACAGTTTGGGGCATAAGAGCGTAGAAAGAAACAGTTCATAAAAAACTTTGTCATGAAACTTTCATCGGTGAATTATTTCTCATAATATGGTCTCCAGTTTCTTTTGTAGACCTGCAGATTGAATTTGTGCTCAAATTGTCCCAAAACTTAAGTAGGTAATGTATTCAAGATAATACCTTTTTTGTTTTATTGCATATGTATTATTAACTTTTTTTATATTTTCAGTCGAGCTGTTTTAATGTATCTACTAGTTACTGCGCAAATGATTAAGTCTGAGGTAGAATATTGTTTTTTCATGAAACTTTTCATCCTACTAGCAGCTATCAAACCTTGAGAGTTTCATTTTTCCTAAACTTTTGAAATATCTCAACTTGTTGGCACACATTAGGGTACAATTGTATACTTTGAATTCCGTGATATATTTTACCTGCTGCTTGCGTATCCTTTGTTGTGCATATCAACTTAAGGACATGTGTGGTGACACTGAGTCATTGTATTTAAAGCCATGTACTGAAAATACTTCACAACATTCAGCAGTTAGGCGTTTCACAGCAGTAAATAGGGCTGTAGCTAAGAGGCAGAATCTGGAGGAGAAGGTGTCAAACGCTTCATGAGGAGTTCTGTGAATGGGTTTGCGGCATGATCAGCTTAGATACCGAGTTGTCAGTGTGAAGGAACATGATAATCTTATTTCTAGCAAGATATAGATTAAGGTACTCATGGTCCTCAACTGAACTAAAGAAGCCTCTTAAGAAGGCGCTGTTGTGCAATATTACACTGGAACCTAACTTCAACGTGTGACAATCATAATAGTCAACGCAAGATGAGCGATCATTCAAAAAACTCCGATGTCTAAACTCGTTTCAAGTAAGTTCTTTTTTTAAATTTAAAGCATTCTAAGATGCCATTTATAACATTCATGGGCTTTGCAGCGACGACAAAAAAGTGACGTTGGAAGTAACTGTGACACATCCAGAGTTGGTTTTACAACAGTCCTAAGAGATTGATAATAATAAAGGAAGGAAGAGAAGATCAAAGGGAGGAAAACTAATAATTTTAATGTGTGCCATAATATTAATTCCTTAGGTTCATGGATCGGCTGAAAGGGATGAGGAGGTGCCAGTATTCATCTTAAAGTATACAGACTTCACGCATCTGCCAAGTTCTCTGGAGAGCATAATCAAAAAGGAATTAGGGTTTAATGTATATTTGACAAGTTCTTCTATTGTATATGGGTTTTGGAAAATGGAATCTTGTTTGAGAAGTTCTGACCCACTTCCTAACTTTTGAAAAATCTTGCGACGCACTTTGAAACCTTTAACACTTTTCGGGTAAAGATTGTGAAACTTCTGGAATACTGTGCGTCTCCTCATTGCAGCCCCAAGTAAAATTCTAGGGCTATGTCTCAGAACACACAAAGTGCGCCTGAAATAAGTGCTGACTGGGATGTCGTTATTTGTAAGCGCAAATGAAATATAAATTCATTTCCACAGAACCTATTTCCGATTTTTGTAGACACTGCAGTAACGGCAAGTTTGTGACAACCGAGAACATTATAAGGAAGATACAACATTCGTTTCACAACATCAATAACCAGCTGAACAAACAAGACTGTAATTAAAGGAAGCCGCAGTAAGGGAGCATATTTCGTAATGTTACCTGCATTGTATGGAAAGCCGCTCATCAGGACCACACCAAGAGCTTCAAACTAGTATTTTTTGAATGCCGGGGTCAGAGGAAAAGATGCAGAAGACATGACATATTTGATGAGTGACACTGAACTTTCTGTTTTTGACTGATTAGTTACACAGTGACTTCTGCTCACTTTATCTGTATTTCCTTTATAAAGTAAACTGCTTTTATCTCAGTGCAAAGCCATGATAATTTCACTGGTGATATTACTGCTAAGCGTTTTGTTGAGTTATCAAATAACGGTCCGTTAAATAATTAAATGTCTACTAAAATTAGGGCTTGATACTTATTGCTAGCTAGGAGAACTGCAGAATGCTTCTCAAGAAACTTCAAGGTGGCCTAGAAAATTGGAGTTTGGTCTACAACAAAGGTTGAACTAGCCTAAAGTAATGCAAATAGGTCTGCAAAATACTTCGAAAGCTATGGTAAACGAGTCGCAATGCCTTAACTTCACCTAAAGACGTTTAGAACACAGTCAGTTCATAGTAACAGAAGTACATCCAAATTATTTTCTGGTTTCAAGAATTTCAGCTCATCATTCTGGTCAAGTTATGTCAAGTTATGTTTATGGGTTTTCGTCCTTCTTCAGCGTGCGTTGGTAATGGGGAGAGCTCAGACGAGTGCCTAAGTTTGTCACTGGCAGTCCACTCAGTCACCGCTAGAGTATGGATGGAAAAGGGAAGAAAGGAAAACATGGGCCTGCCACTTAGCAGGTTCAAGGAATTTACTTACTTTTAGTATTAAGCTTTGTTCAACGAAATGTAGGCCCTACTGGTACATCTAGCCCAAACCCGATCCTAACTGTGAAAACTGCCGGGGAGGGGGGAACTGGCAAAGAAATGGACTGAAGTCCTTGATAAATATTAGTGTCTGCTGTGACGACTGTTACACTTGTTGCCTCACCCTGGGCTTGAGTGCGACCTTTACAATAGCTGGGTTAGTATTAACGTTGATAAGGAAGTACCAAATCAATATCTCGCTTTTGTGATGCATTACTTATGCATGTACTTCTTATACCTTTGCCCACGGTGCCTCATAGGCCTGATTCAAGCTAAAGGCTTCTTTAAGGAGTAGGACATTCACCAACTACTAGGAATCAGCGTCTAAACAAAAATACCGTTAATGATACCTATAGATGGTCATTGCAATCAGTAGCCAGAAAGTGACCAAGTGACTGCTGACCATGAAGCCCACCATATCAATCTTAAGCCTTGAAGATACTCTAGTGCAACCACTTCTATAAATCATGAGAAATATATATAAGAGTAGAGATGTTCTGGCTGCTTCACAAAAACACCCACAGAATACGATATGCAAGATTTTTACGTCCACTAATGACATTCTCGAGCAAACAGAAACGTTTGACAAACAACATTGACATGCTGTATACTGCACATTTGGATTGTACAACCTAGAGACAAAATGTAATTCGCTGTACAAAGGCCGCATCTCACTTCTGGAGAAGTTGATTCTGATGGGCGTGACCATAAGCTCGGCTAAGGAGATTAAAAGATCACTCTTGCTCTCATGTATGCTGGTCACCAACAAGTCATCCAGCATGTGAGCTAAACCAGATCTCCCAGGGCTGGTGAGAAACATATCCCAGGAAGCGTCTCATTTAAATGATAGACAACAAAGGTCATCAACTGAATACGGGAACTAACGCGTGGTACCCAAGTAGTAAAATATAATTGTGATGACCAGCAATAGGAGTGGATATTGGCAGGGATAGGTATGAACGGAGTAACAGCGGTGGTGATCTGTGCGCTCGCATTTGTATTGTTCTATGTATTCGAGAAAATGGGCTACACTTTGATTGATGGCCATCAACTTCAGATACACAGAGGCTCCAGTCAGCAAGTTGCAGACATGGTACAAGGCTAATAACACCATGAGTAGGAATGCTTATTATTGTGAAAGTTTACCAAGAATTCTACAACAACAGAAAATAATTGTTCTTCTTAGTGCTCAGGTCAATATTGCACCGACACAGCGAGGACCAAACTGACTTAAAAGTGAATGCAGAGACTATCTTGAGAAAAATCCTTACCAGATCGGTTCTACTGGGATTAGTAGGACAGTAATAAATCTTCTCACCGCTGCAAACAACCTCCTACTATCGGCCACCACAGAAGCAACTCTAAATGACTTTTCGACAATGCAAGGGGATTTAGATTGACGAATATGAGGCTGCATAATCTTCATTCCCAGCTTGATCTAGAAATTATAATCCTAACAGTGGCTTGATTTTTTTTTCAGACATCAGTGACACTTCAGTCAGTATAAATGTCGGTTTTTGTCCAGGAGAGAAAAGAAGTACAAAGATGTAGGTGGAGGAGCAGTGTACGTTAGTAGAACGTTTGGAAGTGAGTTGACTACTGACACTGTAATGAAAGTGCTTCTAGACTCAGTTTTATTCTACCTCACAGTTAGACACACTGCGTACTTTTGGGGAGGAGTCTCACCCCCTCCTACTGGCGATGTAAAATAGGAGCGACAATTACTTTAATTAGTATCCATATTGTCGACCGTAGGGTATTAGTAAAATATCATAGTGGAGGATTCTATTGCTCCAACTCTCAGCCTACGGCAAGATAGCGCAACTTTGATCTGAACCTTCAAATGAAACCTGCTAAATCCCAACAAAACGTCTGATCTGTATGAGAAGATCGGAGATGAAATTCACTACGGGCAGAATGAAAAGTCATCAAGTTAGACCATTTCCTAGCTAGTGACCACTTACTAGTATAAAACATTAGGCCTGAAACTCCTCTTAGCAGCATCAGTCATGCAATGGAACACTTGGGCGAAAAGGTGCCACTGCGAAGCTCAACGTAGCTTCCGACAGGTGCCTGCAAAGAGAATACGAATAGGTGTTCTCACGCTGGATCTCTTTCGAAATCCTTATGGAACCAGTATACGACTTTACCGAAAGGTCCACAATATCGCTGTATCAACATACCTAAAAGGAGATGCTAACCTCGTGTGAAAGTCCAGAGACAAACAATACATGGTGTTGTAAGAATAGGAAAAACATCGCACGAAGATAAACTAAGAGATACTTACCTTTACTTTTAGATACTCTAGGATACATGGTTAATTGATAGTGGCGTGAAAGATGTTGTACAGTTTGAATCGTCCTAACAGAGGAATACCACCCTAAAGTCAGTACAGCTACCATTGTGGAAACCCGAAGAGAATTGAGAATTAAAGGTATAAGCTCTATGTATCTTCACACTCGGTTTATTTACGAGTCTGCGAGCAATTAAAGGCATTGTTTGTTGAGGTAGTCATCATCTGTTGACGGCTTCAAGAAAGGGTTTGGACCGCCACGTAGTCACATGTGGCTTGCGGTCGTTTAGTTGAGATGCTGACTGGGTCTAAGTTACCAGATGATGTTGCACCAATCCCAAACTCTGTTACTTACATTTAGATTCTCCCCCACTACCACTATTACTGTGAGCTATATTCAATCATCTACGGACCTTCTAGGCTTCTGACCTCTACAATTACCATTTCTTTAATAGTATCACTACCATTTCCTCTTCAGTTATCCCTGCTTCAGATTTTTATATTTCCCTCCAC